TCCTCCTCCCCTCCCCCGCTGCTCTCCGCGCAGGCACTCTCCGCGGCCACCCCCACCTCCTGAGGCCCCCCTTTCCCTCTCCCCGCGCGCCGCCTCTCCTTATTGGCCGCCGCGCGCCGCGCACCGTCCCCTATTGGCCGAGCCCCGTCTCCCCTCCCCTCCTCGTGGGCGTGCCCTCTGCGGGCCCCGCCTCTCCCCTATATAAACCCCGGCGGGCCGGCGCGGCGCTGCCATCGCGGGCGGGAGGCGGCGGGAGCGGAGGGTTCCCGCTCCCCCTCCCCGCTCCGGCGGCGCATGCGCGGGGGCGGCGCGGCGCAGCGCGCAGGCGCGGGCCGGGCCGCCATGGCGGCGGCGCCTGAGGCCTTCCTGGTGCCGCCGCCGCCGCCGCCTCCTCCGCCTCCTCCTCCTCCTCCCGCCGCCGCCGCACCGGAGCCGCCGCGGCCCCGCAATGGCCTCCGCACCGCGGGCGGCGGCGGCAAGCGGCGGAGCAGCTGCGGCGCCAAGCAGCCGGCGTGGAAGCGGCGGCGCCGCGCGGCCTCGGAGTGCGGCCCGGTGCTGCCGTCCGAGTTCCTGCTCGGCGGGAACATCTTCGACCCCCTGAACCTCAACAGCCTGCTGGACGAGGAGGTGAGCCGCGCCCTGAACGCCCGCACGCCGCAGTCCTCCCCGCTGCCGCAGCGCGGCCGGGACCCGGTGGAGATCCTGGTGCCGAGGGACATCACGGACCCGCTGAGCCTGAACGCGCCGGGCGACGCGCTCCGCCTGGCCTCGCCGGCCAAGAGCGCCCGGCGGCGGCACCGGCACCGCGGCCAGCAGCGCAACAACGCCGCCAACAGCGCCGCCGGCGCCGAGGAGCCCGGCCGCCCCGCCGAGCCCGCCGCCCCGCCGTGCCCCGCCGGCCGCCACCGCAAGCGCCGACGGACTTGCAGCAAATCCGACCCTCCGCGCCCCGCCGCGCCCTCGGAAAAACCGAAACCCGGCGGCAAAGCCCCGCAGCGGCCGCGCCGCCAGGCGCGCAAGTTCCAGTACGGGAATTACTGCAAATATTACGGGTACCGCAACCCCGACGTGGAGGACGCGCGGCTGCGGGCGCTGCGGCCCGAGTGGTTCGCGGGCAAGGAGGTGCTGGACGTGGGCTGCAACGTGGGGCACCTCACCCTGAGCATCGCCAAGCGCTGGGCGCCCGCCAGGGTGGTGGGGCTGGACATTGACGGGCGGCTGATCCGCTCGGCGCGGCAGAACATCCGCCACTACCTCTCCGAGGGGCTGGGGGCGGACGGCGAGGCCGCCGCCGGGCTCAGGAAAGGTTTCCCCGCCGCGCTCCTGGCCAGCCGGGGCCCCATCGCCGCCCCGCAGCTGCCGCCCGACGGGCCCGGCGCCGCGGATTTCCCGCACAACGTGGTGTTCGTCACGGTGAGGGGGG